ATGTACTGATTTATTGCTGTTTCAATAGTTAAATCATTTGTTTGCAACTTGAGACATTCGTCTGCAAAGGGTTAAGATGATCGATTATGAATTTTGTGTAAAAAAATCTACAGATATTTCTTGGTACTCTTCTGGTAATGATGTAGAATTGATTTCTTCGTTAAGTTCACTGTTTAGTGAATCAACCGTTAAATAAAAATAATTTTTTTACTTTAAAATGTGAAGGAAAATTATTTCAACTTTCTGTTTGTACGATATAGATATTACGAAGTCTTTCAACAGACTTCCGGTTGGAATATTGTAAAATTAGTCAAATATTCTTGCTTCTTGCGTAGAGACAAAAAACTGTACCAGAATGCTAATTTAAAAACATGGATAACAGTTGGCTTGGACAGTGAACGTGTTGCTTAGCGAACGAACAAAACATTTATCCGAAAGTGAGAAAAGACTGGTTACGCAGCGGACAAGGTGGTAAACGAAAGACAGATGCAAATTCAGTGGAATAACCATTCGCTTCTTGCTCCTCGAGCAACTGCGATGTTTCTACAGTTGTTGCATTTCGGAGCTGACATCATCGACAATGTTCGATTGCGCGGGTGAACACGGCGACAGCGCGCAGATATCGAGCCACGTGTCTCGTGGTTTCATTTCAGCAGTCCAACACAGGTGGTATTATATCCTCGCGCGCGCGACGGTCAATTTTTAGACGGGCCGAACGATTCCGATGCCGCCAGAATACTCGGAAAACCTAAAAACTCTACTCATTCTTCCGAACGACGTATCTTCCTCAAGAAAGTGTAACGTGATTCTATCGTCAAGTAATATCTCGAAACGCTGAAACTTTCAGAATATTCAATATTTCGCTAAATATTTTCGTTATGCATTAACATTGTCAAAGAAGCGAACGTTCGAGCTTCCTAATACATCAATTTCTTGGCGTTTCATGTTTCATTTGATTACTAAATATTTCCGTTGCGTAAAATCGTTAAGGAAAATCGTCAAGTCTCTTAATATTTGAAGTTGCTAGCGTTTCATGGTTTATTCTATCTGGCATCCTATTCGTTCGAGGATAATGGCGGCAGTAAAACCGATCGGTCGGTCGTCGCGACGAAGGTGATAGTCCAGTTCTCGCGGTGCGGTTCGCACGCGGTTATCGTCGCCTCTCGAAAATTTCACGCTCGAACACTCCGTTTCCCGGTACTCGGTCAAATACAGTAAAGGCACGCGATAAGAAATGGAAGGACAGATACTAAGGAGATTCAGAGCATGGCCGGACACGCGTGTCACGCCCATTTCCTTTTCCAGATTACGTTTTCGACCGTCCACGTAGCCCGATCGTTCCGTGAAACGCCGCGACGAAGGGAGCCGCGTCCTGTGTCTCGCTCCTCGATCCGAAAGGAAGAAAAGAAAAGAGAAAAGAGCCGCGATTTCCCATTCCGTTACTCGAATCCGGAAACGAACCGACGACGATTGTCCACGCTGAACACGGAAACTCGTATCGAAGAAGAAGAATAAACAAGAAACGAATTCACGTGAACGTTGGAACGACATTCTTCACTGCTCTCTCGTCATGGATTACTTAAAGTTTAATTTCGACCGTATCATATAGAAAATAGAATATTTAGACCCTAAAATTCGCGAAATCAACGAATTAAGCAACGAGAATTCCTCCGCCCAGAATACGTCGAAGATCGATCGTCGAATATTCCCGATAAAAAGAAACTAGTTAACTCAGATTATATAAATTCTACTAATAATATTTTATTTTTTT